GGGTCTGTTTCAAATACTTGGTTTCTTTCACTGGCTTATTATTATTATTTTTTTAAATTTCAGAAGGCAGAAAAAGATGGAGAATGTCTATTTTTAAGAGTTAACATTTCTCTAATACAAAAGAAATAAAAGAAAACTAGAGCCAGATTTCACTCATGAATATAAAGGCAAAAATTTGAAAAAAACTAGCAATTCTAATGTAGCAAAGAATTAATGTAGAAATACAACTTGAACAAGAAAGTTTAAACCAGAAACACAAGTATGTATTCATAGGACAGTAACCTATTAATTTTATTACAGCACTAAATTCAAGCAAAAAAGCTATTATATCAATAGGCTGGATATGAATTTCATAACACAGGGTAGCCAGTCTTGATAAACACTGTGGAGACCAAAAAAGGTCCTTCTTAAACATGATAAAGACCAGAAAGACCTTCTTTAGACATTTCTTTTGTCTCTGAAACTACCATAAAACACCAAATCAAGAATAAGACAGGATGCTTGATTAGAATTATTATTCAATATTGTTTTAGAGATATTAGATAATAAGGCAAAAATTAAGGAAACAACATACTTATTAGAAAAAAGAAATTTTAAATTTGAAAACTAGTAGCTTTTAAAAAATTATCAGCAATAAATAACAAGAAAAAAAGCCTACTCAAAATCTTGCAATAATATTATAAAATATGTGGAAATAAACTGAACAACAAAGTTAAAGATTTTTAACAAGAAAGTGTATTTAATACACTAGATAGAGTATTAAAAGGCAGAGACATCACTTTGCTGACAAAGTCCATATAGTCAAAGCAATGTTTTTTCCAGTAGTCATGTACGGATGTGAGAGTTGGACTATAAAGAAGGCTGAGTGCCAAAGAACTGATACTTTCTAACTGTGATGCTGGAGAAGACTCTTGAGAGCCCCTTGGACAGCAAGGAGATCAAACCAGTCAATCCTAAAGGAAATCAACCCTGAATATTCATTGAAAGGACAGGTGCTGAAGTTGAAGTTCCAATACTTTGGCCAACTGATGTGAAGAGTCAACTCGCTGAAAAAGACCCTGATTCTGGGAATTATTGAGAGCAAGAGGAGAAGGGGGTGACAGAGGATAAGACAGTTGGATGGTATCACTGACTCAATGAACATGAGTTTGAACAAACTCCAGGAGATAGTGAAGGACAGGGAAGCCTGGCATGCTGCAGTCCATGGGGTCACAAAGAGTCAGACACGACTGAGATACTGAGTCACAACAACAACAAAAAGTACAATAGTTTAGTAAAGAAAACATAAGAAGACCTAGTTAAATATTCCCTGTTAGGAGTTTCAACATCATATTTCAAGTCCTACCTAAGTTAACACATGCTTACTTGTAGGACTTTTGTAGACCTGGTCTCAATGATTCTGATTTGCTTATGCAGAAACTGATTTACCAGCTTTTCAAAAAAAAAGAAAAGAAAAAAAACAATGACAGGCTACTCTTAGCCTGTCAGAAACTTCCTCTAAGGTAACTGTAGACAAAATACCATGGAACTGATGTCATACTTATATCAGTATATGTGAGAAGAGTATAATCAGATATCCTGATGGTTTCTGAATGACATTTTACTCATTTTTTTCATCACCTTCTTAAAAGATGTTGTAATTTAATGTGAACTTTGAGAAAATACGAAGGAAATGACAGAATTGGGGAGAAAAAGACAACTCTATGGCAAAGATGGTGCAGACTGAATGGTCCAACATAAAATATGTATGATTAATCAGATTAGGAGTAATCTGATTAATAAGCTTCTACTCATACAAATATGTTTAAAAGTTGAGAAAGGGTTTTGCTACTTTATGTGCCTTTAATTAAATCCTAACTGGGATATATTATTTTCTTAGGATTAAACATTGCATTTAGATTCCACTACTTTCAGTGTGATCTGTGCTGGGCTAAATGTTATCATTGCATTTTCTGTAAAGGAAGGACTGGCTACATTTATTCATTCAATCCCTGGTGGCGCATATGGTAAAGAATCTGGCTACAATGCTGGAGACCTGGGTTTGATCCCTGGGTTGGGAAGATCCCCTGGAGAGGGAATGGCAATCCACTCCAGTATTCTTGCCTGGAGAATCCCATGAACAGAGGAGCCTCATGGGCTACAGTCCATGGGGTTGCAAAGAGTCAGATAGGACTGAAAGGCAAAGGAGAAAAGGAAAGATATTCCCATTTGAATGCAGAGTTCCAAAGAAGAGCAAGGAGAGATAAGAAAGCCTTCCTCAGTGATCAATGCAAAGAAATAGAGTAAAACAATAGAATGGGAAAGATTAGAGATTTTTTTCAGGAAAATAAGAGATACCAAGGGAACATTTCTTGCAAAGATGGGCACAATAAAGGACAGAAATGGCATGGACCTAACAGAAGCAGAAGATATTAAGAAGAGGTGGCAAGAATACGCAGAAGAACTATACAAAAAAAGATCTTCATGACCCAAATAGCCACAATGATGTGATCACTCACCCAGAGCCAGACATGCTGGAATGTGAAGTCAAGTGGGCCTTAGGACGCATCTCTATGAACAAAACTAGTGGAGGTGATGGAATTCCAGGTGAGCTATTTCAAATCCTGAAAGAAGATGCTGTGAAAGTGCTGCACTCAATATGCCAGCCAATTTGGAAAACTCAGCAGTGGCCACAGGACTGGAAAAGGTCAGTTTTCACTCCAATCCCAAAGAAAGGCAATGTCAAAGAATGCTCAAACTACCACACAATTGCACTCATCTCACACGCTAGTAAAGTAATGCTCAAAATTCTCCAAACCAGGCTTCAACAGTACCTGAACCGTGAGGTACAGGTGTTCAAGCTGTTCAAGCTGCTTCCAGATGTTCAAGCTGGATTTAGAAGAGGCAGAGGAATCAGAGATCAAATTGCCAACATCTGTTGGATCATCAAAAAATCAAGACAGTTCCAGAAAAACATCTACTTCTGCTTTATTGACTATGCCAAAGCCTTTGATTGTGTGGATCACAAAAAACTATGGAAACTTCTCAAAGAGATGGAAATACCAGACTACGTGACCTGTCTCTTGAGAAATCTGTATGCAGGTCAAGAAGCAACAGTTAGAACTGGACATGGTACACCAGACTGGTTCCAAATTGGGAAAGGAGTATGTCAAGACTGCATATTATCACCCTGCTTATTTAACTTCTATGCAGAGTACATCATGAGAAACGCTGAGCTGGAAGAAGCACAAGCTGGAATCAAGATTTCCAGGAGAAATATCAATAACCTCAGATAAGCAGATGACACCACCCTTATGGCAGAAAGTGAAGAAGAACTAAAGAGCCTCTTGATGAAAGTGAAAGAGGAGAGTGAAAAAGTTGGTTTAAAACTCAACATTCAAAAAACTAAGATCATGGCATCCGTTCCCATCACTTCATGGCAAATAGATGGAGAAACAACGGAAACAGTGACAGACTATTTTTTCGGGCTCCAAAATCATTGCAGATGGAGACTGCAGCCATGAAATTAAAAGACACTTGGTCCTTGGAAGAAATCTATGACCAACCTAGACAGCATATTAAAAAGCAGAGACATTATGTTGCCAACAAAGGTCCATCTTGTCAAAGCTATGGTTTTTCCAGTAGTCATGTATGGATGTGAAACTTGGACTATAAAGAAAGCTGACTGCCGAAGAATTGATGGTTTTGAACTGTGATGCTGGAGACAACTCTTGAGAGTCCCTTGGACTGCAAGGAGATCCAACCAGTCCATCCTAAAGGAAATCAGTCCTGAAACTCATTGGAAGGACTGATGCTGAAGCTAAAACTCCAATACTTTGGCCACCTGATATGAAGAACTGGCTCATTTGAAACGACTCTGATTCTGGGAAAGATTGAAGGCCAGAGGAAAAGAGGATGACACAGGATGAGATTGTTGAAAGGCATCACCAGCTTGATGGACATGAATTTATGTAAGCTCTGGGGGTTGGTGATAGACAGGGAAGCCTGGCATGCTGCAGTCCAAGGGGGTGCAAAGAGTCAGATATGACTCAGGGATGGAACTGAACTGAGCTACTAACACTTTCATTTTCACTTTCAAACAAATGAGAAATAGCTGTTAAGTGTGGGTTCAATCCCTGCCCCAAAGCTGTCTGTAGTCTGGCTAGAAGTTTTATACCAACTTTTTATACCAACAGTTTTATACCAACTTGGAGAAGGAAATGGCAACCCACTCCACTATTCTTGCCTGGAGATCTATGGACAGAGGAGACTGGCGGGCTACAGCCCATGGGGTTGCGGAGTTGAACACGACTAAGTGATGAACACATATACCAACTAAATGCAAATAGATGCTACACCAACAGAATTTATCAGTCCTTTTAAGCTGTCCAAACAGTTCTGTGTGTGTGTGTGCGCGCGCTCAGTCATGTCTGCCTCTTTGCAACCCTGTGGACTAGAGGCCACCAGGCTCCTCTGTCCATGGAATTCTTCAGGCAAGAATACTGGAGTGGTCTGCCATTTCCTTCTCCAGAGGATTCCCCAGCCCAGTGATAGAAACTGTGTCTCTTGCGTCTCCTACATTGGCAGGCGGATTCTTTACCACTAAGCTACCAGTGAAGTCATTAACTATTTCCACAGTTAATACTTGAAAGAAGTATCTCTCTTAAAAACTTTGCTATCCAAAATTCTCACATAATACGGCATTTCCTACAAGTCAATCCAAATAAGTAAAATAAAAGTAAATCTTTTTGTTAGGAATACTCAATTACTTTTCAATGTGGGGATTTTAAATTAAGTAAAAACAAAATTTAAAAATTCCAGAACTCAAATGGTCACCAGACAATGAAAAATGAATCACAGGAAATAAGTAATAAAGGTTGAAAGACATTATTAACTAACAACTGCATTTGGAATTCTCTATTGAAAAGCGAGGGGGACAGAAAAAATAGTAAGTTACATTAAGAACTACGTAGGGGAAAACAAAACTTTTTAAAATAATGGATTGGAAGCATTGCATTTACCTCTTTCACCAGTAAATTTTCTGCTTTGTGCTCCGCATCTTCAGGTACTGTTGAATACAAGGTTCGGATGTCCCAAGATACTGTGGTGGTCTGAGAAGAACAAAGAAAGGGAATTAAATCTTCCAACTTGAAAGCATTGTGCAGACCACTATACCCAAGACACAATAAGAAAGTGTATTAGATCTCAGTATTTGAGGATATGAGAAGACAGAAACGTCCACAGTTCTTAGCAATTTACTCTCTATGAGGGAAGATTCATATCTCTTTTGATCACCACTACTCACATTACAGTTTCAAGTATGAAAGCATTAGTCACTCAGTTGTGTCAGACTCTGTGACCCCATAGACTGGAGCCCACCAGTCTCTTCTGTCCATGGAATTCTCCAGGCAAGAACGCTGGAGTGGGTTGCCATGCCCTTCTCCATGGGATCTTCCCAACCCAGGAATAGAACCTGGGTCTCTTGCATTGCAGGTGGATTCTTTACTGTCTGAGCCGCCAGGAAGCATTATAGTTAGTCTCTCCTTATTTGTGGTTTCAGTTACCTGTGAGTAACCAGGGTCCAAAAATATTAAATGGAAACTTCTAGTGTTCTGTTCTGAGATGTATGATGGTATCTCAAGCCACTCCACTCCGCTTGTCCCCACTATCTTATCTCATTGACCTCCTCAGGGTTCCGTGATCCAGGATCACCTAAAGCAGATGACCCTCCTTCTGGTTTATTGTCAGAAGGTCAATAAATAGTAGCCTAATGCTATGTCACTACATCATTCACCTCACTTCATCTCATCACCTAGGCATTTTATCATCTCACATCATCACTGGAAGAAGGGTGAGTACAGTATAAGAAGATATTGTGAGAGAGAGACTACATTCCCATATTTTTTATTATAGTATAATTTTTCTGTTTTACTATTACTGTTGTTAATCTTTTACTGTGCCTAATTTATAAGTTAAACATCACCATAGGTATGCGAGTATAGGAAAAAATAGTATGCATAGAGTACTATCTACAGTTTCAGTCATCCATTAGGCATCTTGGGATGTATTCTCAATGTACAATGGAAGATTATGATATTACAGATTACTGTTTTCTCTGTGGAGCTCACAATTTTAAGCTCTTTCCTTCCCTGGAGAAAACAAAATTTGGGCATCTGTATATTTTGACTATTTATACTGGCACTTTTGCTGCTGTTAATGATAAAATACATTTGAAATGAATAAGAAAACCTACAAAGTTAGCATAATGTCAATCCTACTGTGAATAATCTCCTGAATATCCACAGGGTAAATCTGGCCCCTTTGAGAAGCTGTGTGTGTATAGCCACAGATAGGGTGGGAGAGAAGAAAGGGTATTCAGTAAATCTAGACCTTGAAGAAAATAAGTCATGTTTTTGGTGTCTTTATTTTCATAGAAATAAAACATCTTCACCTTTAAGCTAAACAAACCAATTTTTATTAAATGAATATACATTAACAAAAAGGGTAAAGTATCTCTTAAAACATTTAAAATGTAATGCAGAGATTGTTTCTTCTGTATTTATCTTATGGGATGCCATGTAACCTAGCAACCCCACCCACCAGCTCCCTTTAGTCTTTTCTCATTGGTGATTACAGGGATGCTGGGATGATGAGTCTGTTAGCATACATGGTACCAACATTTGGGATCTTTCATTTTGTACACTGTCAAATCTACAAATCATATAGCACAAATTTCCTGGTGGCTCGGATGGGAGAGAATCCGCTTGCAATGTAGAAGACATAACAGACTAAGGTTTGAGCCCTGGGTCAGGAAGATCCCCTGGAGAAGGGACCGACAACCCACTCCAGTACTCTTGCCCGGCGAATCTCACGGACAGAGGAGTCTGGCCGGCTACAGTCCATGGGGCTGCAAAGAGTGAAACATGACTGAGCTACTGACATTTTCACTTTCAGGATTCATTTGAGCTGTTCTAGATGAAGCGCAGACTTCCCTGGCGGCTCAGCAGTAAATAATCTGCCTGCCGATGCAGGAGACCAGGGTTCAGTCTCTGGGTTGGGAAGATCTCCTGGAGAAGGAAATGGCAACCCACTCCAGGATTCTTGCTGGAGAATCCCACGGATGGAGGAGCCTGGCAGGCTACACAGTGCACGGGGTTGCGAAAGAGTCAGACATGACTTAGCAACTAAACAACAACAACAGATGAAGGGCATTTTTCCTAGACTATATTATTTAAGTAGATGAGAGTCTCAACTACTTTCACAGGAGATGGGAAGGAGAGGGGTCCAGGGAATTTAGTCTTTTGAGCTCACAATGGCAACTGCCCTCTGCCCCCAGGGGCAGAATCATTCCTTATCTTCTAATTCTAGGCTCATATTTTCTCCAATTTTTTCTTTACTCTTGATACAAGCTCCTGGTGGGAAAGAAATCTGGTCTGTTTTGTTCACCGTGATAACCTCAGGGCCTGGCTGGGTGCTCATATACTTACTTGGTGAGTGCGTGTGGTATGTGTCTGTGGTTGCCTGTTGTGTGTGTCTGTGTGTGTGATGTGTGCCTGGTGTGTGTGTATGTGTGTGTAGTGTCTGTGTGACTGTGCATGGAAGTAGGCTGCATTTGATAGTGTGTGTGTATGTGCATGATGAGTGTGTGTCACATGTGAGTGAGTGTGGTGTGTGAGTGTATCTAAGAGTGAGTGAGTGTGTGGGTGTGCATGCACATATGTGCATATTGGGAAGATGCGGTTTGGACCCTGAAAGAAGAATGTCATGTGAATACAACATGATCAGGGGACACAAAATAATGAGAAAATTATATTCAAGATATATCGTATGGCAAAAATAAAAGCTCATCTTGAAACAGATAAAGAGTCTCTCTGTCAGGGTGTTTGCCCCAGGATTTGACGGCAGTGTGTGAAGGAAGTTTGGAAGTGCTCAGAGGCCGTGGCTATTGATTCAAGCCGAGTGTAGATACACATACAGGGAACAATTACTTCCCACGTGAAGCATGCTGGGGCCAATGTGTGTGTGCTAAGTTGCTTCGGTCGTGCCCAACTCTTTGTGACCCCACGGAGTGTGGTCAACCAGGCTCCTCTGTCCAGGGGATTCTGCAGACAAGAATACTGGAGTGGGCTGCCATTTCCTACACCAGGATATCTTCCCAACCCAGGGACTGAACCCAGGTCTCTTGTATCTTCTATATTGGCAGGAGGGTTCTTTAGCACTAGCGCCATCTGGCTCAGACAGTAAAGAATCTGCTTGCAATGCAGGAGATGTGGGTTTGATCTCTGGGTCGGGAAGATCCTCTGGAGAAGGAATGGCAACCCACTCCAGTATTCTCTTGCCTGAGAAATCCACGGACAGAGGGGCCTGGTGGGCTACAGTCCACGGGGTCACAAAGAGTTGGACATGACTGACCAACTAACATAGACACACAGAGGTACCTGGGAAACCCCCAAAGTATGGAGCACTTCACAAATTTGCATTTTCATAGTATGTCCTACATTTCCAGAGTCAGTGTAGACTTACTATTATTTAGATTTTACATTTTTATTCCTTTTGAATTGCTTCTTTCAAATTGTTTCTTTTATGTTATTTACTCTGGTAGAAGATAAACAGTAAACAAACTCCATTGAAAGGCTGGAGTAGAAGATGAGAATCCGTGCCTAAAGTGAGCTTTGGGGATTATTGCTGGATTTCAATTATCTGGGGATAACTTATTTCCTGTTTGGACAGATAATTTGTAGATACACAATGTAACTTGATTGGTTTCCAGGGAACATTACTGGATCTACTGGCAAGATTAAGGATATTTTTCTCTAATTAAAAAATTTTTCTATATTTCAATCATTATTTTATAATAAAACTTTTATATTAAAGCAAGACTCCTCTTTTTCATTATCCACAACAGTTTCTTATTGATTTCTTGCCTTTAAAAAAATAATAGCTGCTCTAAAATACCCTAAATCTGATGGACAGTGAAGAGGCCCACAGTTTAGTTTCCTGTTTAGTTATACAATAAGTCTGTTGTCCCACTAAGATCAGTAGTCTGTGGTATAGTTCAATAGAGTGAATAGTGAGCTGGTTTAAGAAGTTTTTTTTTCTTAATGGCAGGTTTCTGGAAGGTGGGCTTGGGTTTCCGGTAACGATAATCACACGGTTATTTGATTTGTGATATCACCAGAGTAAAGATTAGGGCACCAAATATATAGGCTACTGCTCATACTTGATGTATGAGATTGGAAGTTCATTGGATTTGGGGTAATAAAAATTAATCATATGTATAATGGTTACGTGTGATTCCTGATGACCTCTAGATATGAGATGATGCTAGTTCTTTACTAACTAAGGCAGCTAGGGCTGAGCCACTCTCATGTAACCACATGATAAATATAAAACAATGTTTTACAACATGCAAATCTAATACCTTGCACAGAGTACACAGATACAAGAAAAGGAATGTATAATAAGACACTATTGACCTCAGTTATAGTTTGTCATAATATTGGAGACTTTACTTGAAAAAGCAGAAGGCCTCCACGAAATTTCAACTTTAAGAATTGGAGGGGGTAAATCCATGGCTGATTCATGTCAATGTATGGCAAAAATCACTACAATGTTGTAAAGTAATTAGCCTCTAACTAATAAAAATAAATGAAAAAACAAAACAAAAAGCAAAAAACACAAAAAACAAAAACAAACAAACAAAAAAGAACTAAACCATGGTGGATTCAAGTCATTGTATGGCAAAACAAATACAATGTTGTAAAGAAAAATTAAAAAAAAAAAAAGAATTGGAGAGTTTCTACTCATTTTTTATTCCTTTTTTCACTTTTAATTGAAGTGCAGTTGATGTACAATATTATATAAATTACAGGTGGATGACAGTGATTCACAATTTTTAAAGGTTATATTCCACTAATAGTTACTACACAATACTGGCTATATTCCCTGTATTGTATTATATATCCTTGTAGCTTATTTTATACATAACAGCCTGTACCTCTACACCCCTTATTCCCATCTTGCTCATTTTTAATTTCTTTCATGTCTCTCTGTTGAAGCAAAAATAAATTGGTCAAATAAGAAAAGTATACAGAGTCATATTTGTTAAGGG